GTCATACATACATGATTCTATATTCAAATCAACTGCCTTTTGGATTCTTGTGCTATTTTGTGAAATCCCTACAATATCTAAATAATTATTGAATGTCTTTAGGTTTAACCTTTTTACTAAACTATTTGTTACCAAAGAAACCTGTGAGCCTGTATCGACCAAACCTCTGACAATCAAGTTGTGACCTGATGCTGTTCTAACCTTTACCTTTACAGTAGGTAAGATTGTATTTGCTCGATTTTTATAAATTGAATTAAAATTTACTACAGCATCGTATTGCGATGAAGTGCTTGCATCTTGATTAGATTGAGCAATATTAGAACTTACTGCCACTTTTTCTAAGTGCAGTAATGAATTGTGTCCTTTGTGACAGGTTTGGCATTTTAAATTTAACCTACATTTATCAGTATGGCTGTTTAAACATAGTTTACATAGTTTGTTTCTATCAACAAAGGAAATTCTTTCATTGACTGAAAGGTCTTTAAATTTTTTGCAACTATAAAGTTTATGTCCATTGATGGAACAGTATTGACATTTAACATTACTTTGTGATTTGGTTACTAAGTGTGTAAATTGTTTATTTTCCTTCAACTTTGTTTCAGATGTACTATTAGTGGCTTCAAGAGCCGTTGCCCTATTTTCAAGATATTTTAGAAATCCATTTAATGATGGTAAAGTTGAACTATCTCTATCAATTTGATATGACCTATTCGTAAACTGATCTATTTTTCTAGACAGTATACAGACTAAAAGCATATCCCAGCTATCTACTGGTTGATTAAGATTTTTTAAGGCACCAATTTGTTGTTTGACCTTACTTATAAATTCTCGTAATGAACTAGCAGTTCCTTTTTGCATGGCAGGTATATCAAGAACTTGGTAAATATGTGAATTAATAATCATAGTTTCATTATTGTATCTGTTATTTAAAATTTGTAAAGCTTCATTGTATGAATCATTCACTAATGGCAGATTATTTATTAAGCTGAGGGCTTCATGTTTTAAATAATTTTTTAGATAAAATAATTTTTCTACACTTTTTAAATTTATATTTTTGTCTATAACTGCTGTAAATATATCTATAAATGATTTATATTTAGTTAAATCTTTCCCATCAAATGTGGGAATTTCAATTGAAGGTAATTTAGTGGTACTGGTTGCATGATGCTGTGGCATATTATGAACTAAAGGCACTGTGATTTTATTGTTTTTCATGGATGTAACTCCTTGGATGGTTGCTAATAGATCTACATATTCAGCTTCTATGTCATCAATATCATCATCAAAATTTTCATCTAAATGAGCAATTTCTGTATTTAAATCAGTTATAGTTTTAAATGATTCACATAACATGTCTTTTCTAATAGAAAATAGATCATCCTTTTTTGAACTTTCTGGATCATCTTTATGTTCACTAATAAATCTTTTTACCCGACTTATAGTGCTTACCGCTTGCCTTTTCCTTGTTATCAGTTTTTCTAAATCCTTTTTAGACATATTTAAAGGCTTTGTTAAGTTAAGTGACAAAGTATTTTTAATATAAAAATGTATTTTAATATAATAATGAGATTTTGAAACACTGATAAAAAAAAGAAAAACGGTCGTTAAAGTAAACAATTACCTTTAAAATATTAATTAAACATAAACACACAATACAATACACACAAAAATAGGACCAAATACCTATACTTATATTTTTAAAAACAGAAATCAAAGTAAATATTTGTTACTAGGGTTATGTCCAGTAAATTGTCAATTTTTGACGTAATGAAACGGTGAATGTCAACGCGAACACAGAGCACAGAAATCCAAGTTGGTGTCTCGGCGTTCCTTGGCTCGATGATGGTCATAAAGGGAAGAGAACAGTACTTACGGTTTCGTTCCGTGTTCTATTTATTGACATTAGAGCTGGCAGCCTGGCAGCAAACTTCAGCTTGGACGCTAAATTTGGCGGGCTCCTTTTTTAATGTTTGAGGAAATATGAGAATTTACCTTCAGTTTCGGGCTCCCAAAATTCTGGATTCCACATCTGTGTCGATGGACCAAATTTATGTACGAGACGCACAACTAAAGCCTCGATGGTTAAGCGGACTGTATACTTAATTAATTGAAATAAGACTCACGAAACTTACTGTAGTTACACCTTTATTTAATTTAGACTATTCACCATTCACTTATGATAATTAGATGGCTATAAGCCAGAGCTAATATACTATTTCATTAATAATAATAATAATTAGATGGCAACAAGCCAGAGCTAATGTATGTTTTTACTTTTTATAAAACTACAACTAAAACATGGCGTTATGCGTGATGAATGCACTGGCGCAGAATGTCACTTGTCACCTGCTGGTGGGGGCAGGGAAAAACACTGTCACTTCCGACCGAACACACCCGAACCTACAAAGCGTCCCAACAATTTTGCATAGGTGTTGGATATTGTTTCCAACAAGTAGCTGAAATGCAAGAAGCAGTTACCAGACTGAAAAACAACAAGTCACCTGGATTAGACAACATTAGCGCAGAATTAATAAAGGAAGGCGGAGACTCCCTATTGAATGCGATACACGAACTAATAGTGAACATATGGAATAATAAACAACTGCCACAAGACTGGAATACCGGAGTAATTATCCCACTACATAAAAAGGGAGATCAGCTTCAATGTAAAAACTACCGGCAATAACGCTACTAACTGTGGCATATAAAATACTGTCAAATATTGTGTATGACCGATTGAGACCATATGCGGAACAAATAGTTGGGGATATCAATGTGGTTTCTGCAGGCAGAAGTCCACAATAGATCAGATCTTCGTCTTGAGGCAAATCTTGGAAAAGACTAGTGAATTTAATATAGACACACATCATCTTTTCATTGATTTTGAGAGTGCCTATGATAGCATCCATCGAGAATTTCTGATCCATGCACTGAAAGAGTTTAATATTCCAACTCAACTCATTGATATAGTAAAAGAAACACTTAAAGTACAAAGCAAAATTCGAATTCAAAACGCACTAACAGATACAATCCATGTGAGAACGGGCCTACGACAGGGAGATGCCCTATCCTGTATTCTATTCAACATCATATTAGAGAAAATAATTAGAGAGTCAAAAGTCAACACCAGAGGAACAATAATAACAAAAAGTGTACAAATATTGGCATTTGCAGATGATGTTGATATCATAGCTAGAAGCGAAAGAGAGATGATAGAAGCATTTAATGCTATAGAAAGAGCGGCACAAAACAGTGGCCTAAACATTGACGAAATAAAAACCAAATACATGAAGGCCAGCAAATCGACAGGCCAAAGAAACCTACATAATCTGACAATAGGAGACTATAACAACAACAAAAAAACCAAATGCAAAATATACAAAACCCTGATAAAACCGGTTTTTTGTATATGGATCATAGACTTGGACACTGTCGAAAAGCGATGAAAACCTATTAGGTACATTTGAACGAAAAATCCTTAGAAACATATGTAAGGGTTGAAAGAAAATGATTATTGTGCAAAAATAAGTAACTTTTATTGGAGACTTTTTTCTAATTATTAATAGATGGCATTATACAAAAGCACATAATCAGAAAAATACGCTTAATCCTGAACCATAGGAAAATTATGGAGATGGACTTACATGTCGAGAAATACACTGTTAAATGAAAAACCAAAAAACCTAATATTTTTCAAAAATCTATCGAATAACCTCAAACACAACACCTCACCTCGCCTCTACCTCTACCTCCTGTGTAACAGATTCAGATTCTACGGAAAAGGCTGAATTCAGTACCGTAAAATTAGTTTGCAAACTTCTGATACGGTACTGACTTCTGACTCTGTATTTCTTTTTCTGGAATATCAGCGCCATCTATCGCAAATTTAAAAAAACTTTGTCACGTGGAGTTCGAATCTGTAATAAAAAATGAGGTTTTCTATTTAAGATTTTAAAGTTACCTGCTCCCGTCCATTACCTCAATGTTTTTTGGTTTTTTATTTAGAAGTATATTTCTCGAAATATTAGAACGCTTCCATAATTTTCTTAGGGTATTATCATAAATCGTTTTTCCAATTATATCTAGCAACATTTACTTTATGACAACTTTATTTTACAACTTTCTTTACAACAGTTATTTATTTTTTCATAAGGGATCCATATCTGCAATTGAAAATTTAAATAAATAATAAAGTTTTTCCCCTGACCCCTACCCCACCCCTAGGGGGTGAAGTGGGGGTTGTTTGCTGACATTCGATAGATTTTTGAAAAATATTGATCACATTCTTTTATACGATGTAAATTTCGTGAAATTTTCGACCATTCGACTATAAATCAGAATTATAAATAATGTAAATTAAATATCTAGATACTTCCTAATTTTGATATAAAAACATATTATTCTGCCTTCTTATAAAATTAACAGCATTTTTATTTTTCTCCAGAGTTTGCGTCTGGAATTATATTCATTTGCATAAACTAAGGTCTTCATATTGTGTCCCTAAAAATAAAAATCAAGTAGATTATGCTAAGGATTTCCTCTGCCAACAATCGCTGAGGAAATGCGTCATTTTCATGATTTCTAACAGCTAATGGGAAATGAGGTGGAGCTCCATCCTGCAAAAACCACTTCACACGTCCAGTGACAACTGATCCATAATATAACTAAGAATATTTTCAAAAAATTAAATGATAATCTCCATCTAAATTTAGAGCAAGAACACATGACCCTAGCAGTTTATCGTGTATAAGTCACACCAAATTTTCAGTTAACATGCTATAATTTTAATACATACGTTCCTCCTCCAGTAATGACTGTTCGCATTAAACCCTATATATTCTTCATGGTGAACATAATAATTTTAATAAAATAAGCTGTAGCCGCTATGGAAGATAATAGTTCTTCCTACACCGATTATGTGAATAAATAATGATTCTTCTGAAAAATTCTTCGCTTCTTCTGCGACATACACAATTAAAAAAATCTTTAACTTATTCCAGTTGATGGCAGTGGAGCAGGATCGGGAGATTTGGAAATCTTAGTTGAAGGTGGTCGTGTTACTTCTAGTGTGAAGAGTTTAGGTGGCCAAAGGTTTCGAGCTGCCTTTACTCCTCATCAAGCCCTTCCCCATAGAGTAGATATCAGATTTAATGGGGAGACAGTACCAGGTAAGTGGCAAGTTTTTTACAAAATACTTGAGCTCTTTTATATTATTGAAATCTTTTTTATTAAGCATATTTTGTATAGCGGAGATAAATGTATATGAGAAATGCTACTTAAATCTTGAGATATGGCAACACCGTACGTAATACACCGACGTAATACACCGATTTTTGTATTACGCACCTCAGTAAAACTTATTTGAAAATTTGTATAAAATACATATAAACGTATGTTGATCTTCATGAAGATTATTTGTTGTTGATTTTTATTCGTCCTAAAATTTATGTAGCATTTCTCGTAATACAGAAGCTCAAGGTTTTGAGTAAGTCAAATTTTTTACTTTACAAACTTTAACAAAACTTATATGTAAATAATTTAACTGCACATTGACAAAAAGAAGACTAATTCAAAATACACGGAAAAACACAAGCAAATAATATCGGTTTTTAAGACCAGTGTTTGTAATTATGCATTGTTTTAGAGGTTTATAGATCATAATCTAGAATTATTTCCTCACAAAGTTTCCTCTGCAACTGCGGCAAAGATTATTTACGTCAATGTAGTATAAAAGTCTTAACTGTCTGTGCACAAAACAACTGCGAATTGCATTGTAATTTTTGATCTACCTGGGGAAAATGTTTAGAAGATTTTAAACAATATAGATTTGTACAGTCCAATACAGCAACAGTAAGACTAAATCAGAAGTCCTTAAGCCAATTTAGAGCAGAGGGAGGTGTTAGACAAGGATACTTTTTGACATCTGACTTATACAAGATTTATGGTAAACATGTCATGAGGATGGCTTTATGAATTGAAGGATGGGTCAATGGAGTAACGGTGACTAGTAAAAAAATCTCCAATTTAACATTTGCTGATGACACCACACTTACGTAGCAGCAAATGCACAGAAAATCGCAGATCTCCTGCAAAGATTTTAGTTGAAAAGCGTTAAAATTAGTCTTAAAATTATTAAACAAAAAAACACTATTCAACTGAGTAATCACTTGCAGAAATACCAAGTAGTAGATAAATTCAATGAGGTGGTTTTGGCCTGTTCCATTGCTTTTGGAACAGGCCAAAATCAGAACAGGACATCTATATTTTCAGATCTACTGTGGCACTCTATTGACCAATAGTACACACCAATGCACTTGTATTCTCAATATTTCTATAAGGGTCAGAAGCTTGGGCTCTTAAACACGCACAAGGATGCTAAAAAATGTATGCCTTTGTGATCTAATGTTGGAGAAGAATGTTGCACATACCTTGGGCAGCTCATCAGACAAACGTTTTCATTCTTAATCAACTTGACATTACAAAAGGCCGCACACAAGATGCCTACAGATAACTCTACAGCTCTTTGGTCACGTGGTTCGCAGAGATGACTAAAAATTTAGAGACATTAATTTTTTTTAAGTTTTCCGAATGAGTTTTCGTTATCATGAAACATCTATCAATGCAATCTGTTATTCCCTATTTCTTCTATATTTTCTTAAAACCGATAATGCAACTAAAGAGTTGCGTACGTTAAGGGTACTTAAAAATGTCCATTACTTTTGTCTAATTGTTTCTAAATATGAAAGTTATACACCAACTTGTATTGCATATTCTTTACAGATCATCTCTACATGACTCTAGTAATTTTTTTGTGGTAACTGTCTTCAACTTTTCAGTAATGTGTTTTATTCCATCTGTCTTTAATCAATTTTTCCACGTGTCTTAACCAGCTTCGTCCTCAGATATTCGAAGAATATTTTCTTCTTTTTTGTTCGTTGCCATACAATAATGTTAGTTTGGCATAAATCTTAATTTTGCTGCTCTTCAGGTGCTATTGGAATTAAATAGTTTGCACAACGCGACGATCATTCTTCGTCAATTCGCAATTCTTTTATCCATTTCTCATATCTTATCTTACATATTGGTTGTGTTAACCCTTACATATTAAAATTCTCTTATTTTCAATATTTGATTTTATCCATATTCCTTTTAAAATAATTTAAATATTCTTAGCAGCTCATTTTTTGGTCGTTTTAAAGGGATTACGTCGTTGGCCTAGGCAAAAACCTGGCTCCTGTTATCATAGATCGTCCTTGCGTTATTGAATATACATACCACTTTTCGTAAATATTTTCTCTAGCAGAACTTATCTACTTTTTTCTCTAATTTTTGTGGAAAACTACCTTTCACAATTTATTTTTCTTCGTTGAAAACCTATGTATAAGTTCTTTGTCAACAATCGATAGACCTTTTAAGCGACCCTGGTATACCCATAATGCGAAAACTCTAACTATTGACCAGAAATGGGGAAACGTTCAACATGCCTTTGTGTCAGTTGGAAAAGAAACCCTTAAACCACTTGTAGAAAAAAGTAACCCTTGTATGACAGTAGAAATGATTAAACTCAAGGAAAAACTAGAAAACAGAAAGCAAAAGAACTAAATAAATACAAAAAATTCAGATAAACATCAGAGAGAAAATTCGAGAAAAAAATGGCAAAGATACCTACTGGATCAAATTGAATTATTTATACTTATACTATATTTATATTGATAAATATGCTATTAATGTAATGTTTAAACTCTTTACTCCAATATAGCAGATTGTGGCAATCTGAAATTATTGACACATAACTATTTGACTTTAGAAATGGTATAGCTACAACAGATGCTTTGTTCGGCTTGAATGTGCTAGCTCAGGGATGCAGGGACATGAATCAGGACTTATGTTACTCAGGTACTTATGTTTTGTAGATTTTGGCATTTGGTAACACAAAACTTGTAGTATAGTAAAACAAAAATTTGTGTATAAAATTATTTAATCTATATTGGAATCAAACAGCCAAGGTTGACAACCCGAGAATACCCGAGATATCAAAATACAGAGAGGAGTCCGCCAGGGTTGCGTGCTATCACCACTACTCTTCAATCTCTACAGTAAATCGGTATTTAAAGAAGCGCTCTCAGATACAATAGAGGATATAACTATCAATGGAGAAATTTTAAATAACTCACATTTTGCAGACGATACAGTAATAATATCAGATAACAACAATGATTTGCAGAACGTAATGCAACGCCTTAACGAATGCTGTCATGAATACGGCAGATGCAAACATGCATTTGATAATTGAAGCTACTGTAATTTAAAGTGTGGATACCTACAAATAATTAGGAACATTGATAACACCAAATGTAGACCAAAACAAAAAAAAATTAAGATATGTGTTGAAATAGCACGTTCATCATTCGTAAAGCTTAAACAGTTCACTTGTTGTCGGGAACATGTTCTCTACTTTTGTATTGTAATAAATGTTTCTGATAATTCTCAGGACTTTGTCGTCTTTTCTCTCTCATGACATTTATTAATTTGTCGTGTCTTACTTTGTCAAATAATTTTTGATAATTTATAAAGCATTTGTATATTTCACAATTTATCTATGGGTCTGAACGTTTTTACCTTGTTTAGGCCTTCTGTCTCTTTAATGAAGGGCTGCTTCTCTTTTTTTTGTGGACATAGGGTGGTGTGATACACATCAAAATTGATTTTGTGTATTGATTTGTGGTGGTGGAGCTCTAAAGAGCTGGGGTTCAGAAGGTGGCATTTGTGTTTAGGAGCACAGTAGAAGAACTTTTTGTCAACCAGACAAACCAAAGAGATGTGCTTCGAGTGTTACCAGCCATACTAGGAACGGCTCTTGATCAGCGTTTTTGGCATGCAGTTGTTATCGGCGATATTTAGGACATAGAACTTCATTTCCAGTGCTATGTAGCAGTTTGGCTGGAAAGAATGGAACGTTTCGTTGGAGAGTCCTGGTGAGTATCTGCCCTCGGCGATGGCAAGAGTTTTGAGTGTTTGCTTGGCTTGATTGTTATAAAGCGTAGGACATATCTCTTGCTGAGGGTTCGGAATATTTCCTTAATCGATGTTATGTTTGTTATTTGGTGGTATTAGTGCTGACAGATAGTCTCTGCGCTTTCTCATGCAAAATCTTGCAATGCAACAGAAAGGAGGAATTTCCTTTCTGCTGCCATAACGGTGTTAATTTGGCGAGCATGGACGCACGCCTTGTATTCGATTTTTGGTCTTATGTAAGTCTTGTAGGTGTGTAATAGTGTTTTATTTGAGTGTTGCCGAGTTTACTTGACAACGCTCCCAGTTTTGCTCTTTTTCTTACCCTGTCTAGGATGTTTTGTATGTCGATCTTCCAGTTGAGAGTCCTACCAAAATAAGCTCCCAAATATGACACCAAGTTTCTGAAATCAAGGTTTTCTCCTAGGAGGGTTATCTGGCTCCGAGCATTACGGTTGTGGGAGGTAATTAATTGTAACTCTCCATCTATTAATCACCCAACAATTTTATTTAAATAATTTTGAGCTCTTTCGAATACAGACGGTTGTCCCAGCGTCGTTCTGTATGAGGCCGCAGTGAGAAGCGCGGTAACGTCAGAAAACAGCAATGATTCAAAAAAAAAATACTCCGATTAGAGACATAAGAACGTATTATTTTAACGAAACTTGTGGATAGCCCACAAGGTGGAGTTTTTTAATCAGACCTGTAGGCCAGACCTGATCGAAGGCTTTCTGGACCTCTAGAAAGATGCCAATGATGTATCAGTTTTCGTTAATTGATTGTTGCTGCTTCAATCAATGCATTTTGTGTGGAACGTTCAGCCCTGAATCCGAATTGATAGTTTGGAATGACGGAAGTGAAGTTCTAGTAATTCTACGAGTCTCTCCTTAAGGATCCTGTCGTAGACTTAACCTTGGGTGCTAATTAGCGACATAGGTCTATACGGTTTAGGGTTGTTTGGGAGTTTCCCTGGCTTGGGAATCATGACTGTGCTGGCCGCCTTCCATGAGGTTGGAAATTAGCTCAGCGTGAAACATGCATTGATTATATTAGTGAGCAGCGGGTTATATTCTCTGGAAGTGTTTTGAGACATCTTCATTGGATGCCATCTGAGCCAGGAGATGTGTTTTACATATGTAAGTTAGCAATGCAGTTA